GAACGAGTTTAAGATACAGAGAATATCTGACGAAATAAACAAGATTTTGTTTTATCTCGTTGCTGAACAACAAAGTATGTGGTTTCTGAGAATGTTGGACATCTACGATAGAAAAAATTGCTGCATATAAACATGAGAGAATAGCAATCAAAGCTTTCGCTGGGCGCATATTTGCGCCCATAGACCACTCTGATAGCCTTTGCTTATATGCGCCCATAACAGTCAAAGGGTTAAACTGAACCATACTTTATTGATTTGGGCATATGTCACATTCTGTATATACTCATATGTTTGTGTACCATGATTTTCGTTTTCTCTCAAGTCCTGCCACTTGTTTATAATGAATGATTTCGTTCTTTCTTTTTCTGAGCATAACGTTTCATCAAACCGTATATTTCATTTTTCTCTATAGAGAAACTCCAAATCGTACTTAGGTTTCTTTTTACTCTACTAACTAGTGCTTCTTCCATCACTTAGGTGTCCATTAGTTTAAATCGAGTAATGGCCTGTATGGCTACAATTAATATTGTACGGCATACTTTAGTTGTTAGTAATAATAGCATTCTGTGAAGTGCCAGCAAGTTTCTTTTCACCAAGGTCTTGTTTGCCTCATCGTGTCAAAAAGTTGCGCCATATCTCAAAATTGGGAGGGCAACCGCTCCGTATAACATTCTTATTATGTTAGATTTTGTTCCTCAACTTTCAGCCACTATTCTTACATGTGACGACACATATTGAATTATTTTAGTTATTAAATATTTGACATGTATGGTAAAATTTAATTCCTCGTAAACAATTATTCACAAATACTTTACTCCATCCACATACTTTACATTTTGGCCATTAATTTTGATTATAGGCAAATGTTGCCTTGCTAGATTCCTTTCTACGAGCACGGCTACAGTTTATGCAGTCGATATCTTTAAATTGTGTAACTTGCACCACTCGTTCAATAATTCGATCAACTAGCCAGGATGAGTATGTAATTCCGATCTGGTATTTCCTTTAATTACATATGCAAGATCCTTTGCGTATGCAATTATTTCCACATTCTCATTGGGCATGTTTTCTTGCGACTTATTTAAAGTCTACTTTATTATTAAACGTATACTTCCACGCAGCTGGTCCTATTATGGACCCATGTGGATGAACTTTTTTCATTCTTTTTGAATGCGTCTTCGTCGTATTCTGAACAATTACCTTGCTGTTCTTATAGTAGCTTTCAATTATTTTGAAAATATGAGAACTACAGTTTGCTTCAATAATTCACGCCAGTACTGCTGGCCGCCAGATTTTATCAAATGCTCCTTCTATATCTACAGACAAGACGGTGCCTCTCCGTTATCTAAACCAATAGGGACTTTCCAGTCCTGTGTCCTTATGTTTGTTTAATTCTGTTGTCTATTATTTTCTCAAATATCTTCCTGACTATAGACAGAAGCGCAAATGGTCTATAAAAATTTAACAGAGTCCTGTCTCTGTTTTCAAAATTGTCTCAAGGTTCGCTTCTTTCCACTATTTAGAAAACCTTTTCTGACTGAAGCAGTTGTTCATTTAGCACAGAATAACTTCCGGCTGTTGTTTTCACAGATACTTCATTATTTCTATCTTAAAATTGTCGATTTCAAGAGCCTCGTTATTTTTAAATTTGATTATTGCCACCTTTTTTCATTAAATGAAATTATTTATTCTAGGTTTAGGCTCATGTAGCTTCCCAAATTTTATTTCAGAGCCTGACACTTCATTTTGCTCTGTCATATCATCTTGAGGCACACATTCATTTAAGAGCACTTCTATTGTACCATTTAGGCTGGTAATTCTACTCCAATCTGGCAGTTTTAGTGCCGCCCACAAGGTCGGCTTACACAGTTATTCTCTCACAATTTTGTATACGATTCCCCAAAGGTCTTTATTACTCTCTACTTCAACAAACTGTTGCCACGGTTCATTTTTTCATTTTTGCGGTTTTTGTGATGGACACGTATGCATTTCTCAGTTTTTTGTATTCACTATCATACTCATCAATCACATCGGCTAGATGAAATCGCTTGGCATGTAGTAGCTGCTGTTTTGCTGACATGACCTTTCTTTTTATGTTCGTCAACTGCGGTTTCCACCAAAACTGTCTTATTTGATGTTTTCCTCTATGAATTAGCATCTTCGTAACACCTGTCTAGTTTCTTATTAATGCCTCATCAGCAGGAAGGGTACTCAACGATTGGACAGTCTCTTCATTAAAATTTTGTTCTGCACATTGACTAAATTTCTGCCAATCTATTTTCTCAATATTGCAACCAAATTCTGCTTTCCAATTCCGACTACTTCTGTTTCTTCCTTTCAGTACTATTATAATCAAATTATGCCATATTTCGTACAGCTGCATTCTACTTTCCATGCTGTACCATTTCTAGCAAAACTTTCTGTGATAAGAGTTAGGTCTATATTTGATTCTCCATTTCCACTCATAAATGTAGGTGGGTTATTTGGCTTATTCAGGATAGTAAGACTCTTTTCGCATATAAATTCCTCCAGAAGGATTCCTTTTGCATGTCATTTCGTCAAACCACAGCTCAAACTTTACATTTGAATCCATTGTTATCAACACTTTAACCATTGGAAATCTGTTTAGGCTTTCTATTTTATTAAGAGAACCCTGCAGAGGAAGCGAATACTGACAATATATTGACAGTGATAAAATATTATAATAATATCACACCTTATTTCTTCAAATTCAACACCAATGATGTTTTCTTACAGGATCTTCTTTCAGACCTTCCTCCTTATAATCTTTTTCTACGTCGTAGTTAATCACCAAAGGATTAACTTTCTTGGGTCTCTCCACGACAAAGCCGTACTTATTGAGATCACATCTCTTGGTAGCTTCGACGTCATATCTGTCCATGACTTCGACTACAGAACCCTGTTTCTTCATTTGCTTTACATTCCTTAATTTCAGGCACTCTCTTTTTTCGAGCTTTTTTGGTATTTCATCCCTTGTTTGCTCAATGTTTTTTTTGTCCTCTTTCTCTGGATTGGTGAGAACTATCTCGTATTTCTCAGTGGAGCTTCCTTTTTGTGCTTTTCGGCTGTTTCAGTGGGACGCGGCTCATGCATTAGCATGGCAGTGGCCTCTGCGTACGTCAACGAATCAACTAGTGATTTCTTCACGTTTTTGCACTTCTCCTTTAATATTCCATTTTCTATAATGACATTTCGAAGACGGGATGTCTCCATAAATGCCCACTTCTCTAAAATAAATTTAATTGCAGTTCTGTTCATTTTATTCGATTCTTCGTATAAATACCTTTCGAGGTCATTTATTTCCTCGGCGTCTCCTGAAAAGACGCCGACAGGAACGTCTGAGAATTCCTCTCTCTCCACTTCGACATCTCCTTCCTCCTTTTACTTTTGACAGATTTTCCAGGCCTCATTGAGTCTTCTGCAATGCTCAATGGAATCGAACTTGCTCGATTGCGTTCCCTTACCTGAATCAGAACTACCCTTGGCTCAATACCCATCTCCATTCCTGTCCCTTCATCGTCTATTTTTGTGATTTTTAGGCTTTGCGTATGTTTCTTGTTATTTAAGTTTTTATTTCTACTCCCCATACTTGTTCCTACGAGTACGGCGGGAAATGAGGTCGACGCGGGCTGAGCCACCGCTGCACGGTCAAGGCTGATAGCCGGAGGTCGCCAGATATTAGGTGATTGGCCACTAAGGGCTGATGTACCTGTGACGAACACTCCTAAAAAATTCCTTTGTTTACGTAACCACATAATTGGTCATCGGCGATGGGAATTTTGTGCGTGTGGCGATGGGGTTGTAATGACATCATTTGGTTGTCAACAAGAACTGTTAAATAAAATGTAAAACAAGTATAGTCTCATTTGTGTTTGGTGATATTTCAAATGGTGACATTTTGGTGATCCTCAGCAGTCCATTCAAGAATAAACTCCAAAAACGGCACCGAAAAATGGAGGACTATGGTCAATACATTGGAGAAATTGAGGGTCGCGAACCAAAGCAAAACGTTTTTAAAAACTTACAAAGAAATTCCGCCTGAACAAAGAAATTCCGTCACTCTCTCAGGAGGACATGGATCAAGACAGTCTTGCTTATAAAACGCTCGATGGCAGTATAAGCCAACTAGCCGTCAGTATGGAGTAGGAGTGTGTGAAATTAACAAAAATATAAAATGCTAAAATTGATAGATGAAAAAGATAAGACGAGAGGGCAAGAAATTGTGTAATTAGCAAATAAACTCTATATTCATGTCTGTATGACGATAGCAGCCAACCAGTCTAGGAAAAAGTGTAGCAAACGACCGAATATTGCAGGCGTAGATCAAGGTGACAGCAATAGTGAAGAAACAAGTGTAGCTAACGAAAAGAAAGAAGATAAGAGAAATACAGTTGCAAAAGCAAAACGGTAATCCGTAGGGTTAGAACGCCTAAAGGACAAGATGATTTGGCAGTGGAAGGTTTTATACAGGATATACGAGGTGCGAGGATACAATGTAACCATAATCACATGCTATTGAAATTAGTATTATCAGAAAAGATAACAGGCAGAATGTTCGATCAGGTATTTGAAGATGAATAGTTCCGAAGTATTATGCGATGCACTACGTACGCATGTGACATCACCAATACGATATCCGCAGGCAGAGCGAAATTGGCCAACATTTATTAGCTACACAATGAAAATATTAATGATAATAATATCCGCTTTAGAAGAGGACTCAGTGAACTAAGTTATGCAAAACAAAACAAGTACAAAAGTACAATCAGCAGGAGAATAGCTATAGAAGAAGAGGAAAACACAGGCACGCAAGCTTACATTAACAACATTAAATCTGAAATTGTAACAATCCTGATGGCAAACGAACCAGTCACGATGGAGAAAGCGCAAGAAAAAGCAGTGAATATTGAAACAAAACTTAAAGATGAATTAGATGGAGGAACTCATATTTATCGCCGACAAAACAAAATCTACGATTAACGAATATAAAGAAGTCGAACATGATTACGTTTAGACCCATGACTGAACCAATTGAGAGATGAGATCCACCTCAACACGGCACACCTCTCGATCAGATACAGAAAATGTAATGTTTTTAATGCAGGCAGACGGGACATCTGGCAAGCCAGTGCCAGAACTTTCAGACGCGCCAGCAGGGAAAGCTGCCATTCCACAAAACAAACCGGACGGACGTACAAAAACCGCCAAAGGAGAGAACAGTGG